TCTCTCTCTCTCTCTCTCTCTCTCTCTCTCTCTCTCTCTCTCTCTCTCTCTCTCTCTCTCTCTCTCTCTCTCTCTCTCTCTCGTGAATCCTCTATCTTCTCTTTTTCCTCGTGATGCTTCTCTCTCTCTCCCCGCTGTCTGCCTCAACACATGTTGGAGCCCCACCACGAGAGTCGGTTGTCGTTCGTGACGTCTGTGAGCCACCACCGAGGTCGAGTGGTTGTTGTTGTGTTTGATCTCGTTTTCTTGTTCCCTTGTCTCCAGATATATTCCAAGAGAGGTGTTTCAAATCCAGTTTATTCATCATGTTCTTATATCATATTTGATGTTGGAATTAGGTTGTTGAGATCTGTTTGCAGTAAGAATGATAGATCATAATGTATAGTAGGATATTATATGCATGATTCATATTGCATAAGAACACTCATACTGATTAAAAGAAACTTAATGAATTGCATTGTCTTGATGTGAGAGATTGATTGTTCTTTGGTGATTGAATGCTCTCATTGCTTGTCATTATTTTTTTGATTAATCTATGTTTCTAGAAGGAATTGAAGATATGTGGATAGATAAAGATTGAACTGAATATGAATGATATGTATGCACATTGTATTGTGTGTGAAACCAAGAACCGGTGGCGTCTAGAATAGTCAGTTGGTATGATTGGAAGTCGATAGGAATGAAAAGGGATAAGAATGAATCTGATTAGGATTGGTAGTAAATGAGAAAGTAGAGGTACTAACATTTCAGGGCACTATTATGTGGGCACTACAATGCCGGGGAACTATGACTCCAGGGTGCTAAGACATCGGGCGCTATGACGTTGTAAAAGTTATATACGGCGATACAAGTCGTCTATGAAGAATGGTGGAACAATGTGGGGGGAGCCAAGAGATTTTTCTATGATTTAGCAGTGTTGGAAAATGATTAGCTTTCTCGTGGCAGAGGTACGTCTGCAGGCGATACGTCTGCAGGCGATACGTCCTAATGAGTCCAGAGGTATAGATCACCAATTATAACATGTGTGTGGTATTGACTGAGTTCATACCATTTTTTAATATTAAAGTACCGTTGATTGCTTGAATGTCAGTGGGTAGTCAGTTCTCATTATGCATTAAGTAATATAAAGGTCATGTGAAGAGACTGGTCTATAACCACTTCACTGAGTAAAATATTTACTCATGTCTTCCTTTCCATTGCCATGTATGCATGACTTTAAGTAGAAATAGTGGATACGGTTAGGTTCGTGTGTTATAAAGAAGGAATCGCGTCTGGCTAGTCCTGGGACCAATAACGAAACACGGTAACAATGTCTGGTTGTTTAGACATGTGTTCTTAAATCCGCTCTTGTTAACCGTGGAAATTGTGTGGGAGGTGGG